ACACAGCCCAGTATTCCATCCTACATAATTAGTCTAGTTTCATACGAGCAATGTGTTTCGCTTTTTCAAAAATGAGCTGCAGGTCGTGCAGAGTGGCAGGAGTAAACGTGTCAAAGTCCAGGGTGACAATGGCTTGTGTTTCGGTCAACCTTCGTATGATTGAAACCTAAACCACTTGTTATAGACTGTTGTTGGCGGTAGGGATGATTTTTGTGATAAGGAATGTGTATTTCATACGTTAAAACGGTTTCACTCGTTTGGGGACGGAGTAGGAGCTTTCGCTCAACTGGCTTCAATTGACAGGAGCAGTGAATAACAGGTCCCTGTGGCTTACAGTCTGCGTACAGAATAAGGAAAAATAGAGATATGGAGGTCAGATAGGATGGGAGACTAATTTGTGATAAAGCTAGCGCGCTTACCCTAAGCATGAGTCACGTGCACTTCCGGAGAGCTGAGATGCAAAAGCGTGAGCCACTTACGGAGAGGCAGCATTCCAAGACTCAACAGTGTTTAGCCAGCAGAAGTTGTGGCTTCATTGAATCTGACACTTTTGAAGCATAATATCTGCATGTGCCGTCTGAGATCGGACAAGTGACAGATTAGATCCACGCAGGAAACTTAGGATGATGTGTGCCTGTACATTATTATTATAGCACTAGCCCAACTCTCGCTTCACCAATCAGAAGTCCTGCTTAGTCAGTGGCTATTCAAGTTGTCCTGGATACGTAATACTTTGATGAAAAATGTGTCGGCCGGTCATCAGCGAAGAGTTCTGTCATTTCTGTGTCAATGCCAGGCAGCACATTGGGTATTACTGGGCATTACCGCTTTTGTTTGTCGGCATGATGCCGAATACTGAAACATATATTTCTGGCCAGAAGCAAGCTTTTTTATAGTACTCGCTTAGTGTCGGTGCCAAACGGTTCTCAGTGTCTTCGTTCAGACACGTCTTTTCTGTTTAGACGGTGGGGTTTTTTTGACACCAGCAGCCTGCAAGTAGAGTTGCTTTTTATTTTGGGTGAATTTTCATGGCTCTGAAGTCAAAAGTGGAATAGACTAGAGGATAATATGCATAATTTTTTAAAGTATGAACCTTCATTGGACCTTGGAGTCTTGCTAGACACAGACAAACTTGAAGTCCTTTGGTCTTACATCCATTCGAAGGGCTGAAACATTAGAGGGTATGGGGCTGGATGGACACTCACTGAGAGGTCGGCTGGGTGGAGAACTGTGAAGTAACCAACCAAGGGTTCTTCATTCGTGAAAAAGTTCAAGCGAGATAGGTTTTGGATGCCCCTTCCTCGTGTTAATTATCACAAACTTTGCATTACTCCTAGCCCGAGCAGAGTTGAAGGATAAGGCTTCATGGAGTTTAGTGTATGATCTACAGAATTAACCTCATGCAAGTTAAGGTTTAAAATTGGAGTATGAATGCCCTATCGTGGGAGTGCAACTTACCGCACCTTTCATTTGGTTATCATTCCGGATGTCTGCAGATGGCTATTCATGAATAACTCCTGCAAAACAACGAGTTGTTTTGGACAGAATTGTCAGATAAGCTCCGTGGAACAGTTAAGTTAATAAGTATGGATCTAATAGGCTGTAAGAAAAGAACTAAAGTTAAGTCCTTCTGGAACTTCCCAACCTCTACCCGTTCCTAGATCTGGGGGGAACCGATATCTTAGCAATACCAAGAAGATTAGCATTTGTGTCCTCACTTGCTTCTGTGACATCCTGTTTATTAAGCAAACTTCATGCACTTGCACAGATGCGGTTTATAGTCACCACTTTGAGGGTGCACACTGAGCACTCACCATCATCCAATTTGCTGGCTGGATAGCCAGTTTAGTTGTTGCTCTACTCGCCTGGGTTCATCCTAACTGCGGATGAGCGAAGGTGTTTGCCCGTCAGAATGTGGGCTTAGGGTCGATTAGCCTCCTTTTACTGCTTATATTTCCCCAAAGAACGCTACCATCACTCCCGTGGGGCTACGTAGCAGATCACGATTACTTATCATCGCCACGGAACCGTTTTGGAGCTGCTACAGGGTATTCTAGTTTCCTACGACTTCATCAATATTTGCATCAGATGCAATTATCTGCTCTGCAAATGATTTACGAAGTGCATGGTCCGCTTTGACATTTCCGAGGGTCGACTGATTTTTCAACTACCCACCTGTGGTGAAAACAGCATTTCGCCGAGAGCCGCCCAGCCAAGATTTCTGAAGCGAAAGTGTTGCGAATTAGCGAACTATGCTACTGAACAAACGAGTGGTCAGAATCCATTCAGGCTGATCTGTGGACTTCGTTATCCAGCTTTGAGTGATCACTGGGATCAGACTGTTCATTGGAACAAACCACTCGCCTTTCTGAAGAAATTGCAAGCGGCTTGTGTAGTTTGCGGTCGATTAACCTCACTTAAGCTTTTCCGTTGGCCTCCCTTACCACGTTTATGGTTGCTCACCGAGCTCCCTCCTTCGTGGGCCCATTCGATCTGACCAACGCAAAAACTCCGACCGTTTTTACCTTGCATAGCAGGTCTTAACACCCTATTTTCATCAGCTCTACTGGTCAAAAATGTTGATCTCTCGCTTCACCAGTTACCGAGATCTTTCTGAAGGACTTTAGGATTGTGAACTTCATCACAGTACCAAGGAGTACCGTGTTATCAGTTAAACTAGATCCACGCTCGCCTTGGATAACTTGAGAAGCCGCACACCCACCGTTTATCTAACTCCATATTCCTATCTGTTAGATATTATAGTTGGGTTTCTCAGTTTTCATTGACTTTCTATCCATCTCTCTCTCCTGATTTTGATCAGCATGTTATTGTAGTCCCGAAAGATGTCTTGTTGATATCCGCACACTTGGCCAAGCTTGTTAAGTTCAGTATATACAGTTTGTGTCTGATCCATGCAGGCGTTATTGAGCTGCCTGTCGCAGGTGCCACATGGCATGCCAACATGAAGGGGTCAACTAAAAACTACAATTTATGCATATTCTATCCAGCAGTCGTTTCGGTAAGAACTTTCAGTCGAATGGAACACTAAAAATACTCTGGAAAGTTGAAAAAAGGTATAAGCTTAGATTTGGAACGTCTCGCCAAATTGGTACTGGGGAGGCCCTGGTACCATATTAAGATTCAAAAAGTTCAGAATTACTGCGTTTTGAAATTGAAGACTGGTTATAATACTGTCATTGGAAAAAGATTAGTTGCTTGCTTTGCACAGAGAAAGCAAAATGTTAAGACTCGTCCTCACCATTTTCAAATCATACGTGCGGCCGCATCTAGAGGTCTTCAATACGGTGGCTCCTCCAACACTCAAGAGAGACTCTAATCTCCTTGAAAGAATACAAAGAACTGCAACAAAATCAGTTGTGGGGCTAAGGGGAAAGACGTATCCTGAAAGACTTAAACACCTAAACCTATCTACCTTGGGTTGTCGCATGAAGAGAGGTGATCTTATTATGGCATACAAGATCCTCCATCAGGCAGACCATGCAAACAAATCAGTTTTGCCTGCAACCCAATGATCTTCACGAGGAAACCACATTAAGATGGCACACCAGAGAGCCAACACCATACTCAGGTCCAAATTTTTCTCCCTAAGAGTATGTGCTTTATGGAATGCCCTACCGTGACACATCGTTATAGCTCCTTCAGTTGACTCATTCAAGAGATGATTAGACGGTATGCCACCTCGCATGGACTACCACGGGCATACTCAGGTAGTCACCAACCTCATTACCCCCCGACTCCCCCTAACTACCAATCACTATCTCCCTCCTTAGTACACCCACATTACCTACTAATTCTTCTGTAGGAACCAAACCTATGCGACCATTCGCGCGATTCCCATACACTTTTCTCTCGTTCTCATTTCTCTTTTCACCCCTCCTTTTCTTCTCCTTCTCTCTCCTCTTCCCTATATTATGATTTTTTCCTCTCTTTTTTTATTCTCTCTTCATTCCTATTCTCTTTCAGGAAACTACACAGACAGGAGTCACGGCAGTTCTCTAAACTTCCCAGCAACCTATAGCTCCCCAATCACTCTACAAATTACAACTTACTAACCCACAAAACATCCACCTCACCGAAGCTAAAAGCGAGAAAGCAGAGGGGATTTCCTCGTCCACTGCTGGAGTGAACCGAACAACTCGAACCAAGCCCTAAGAACTAGACTCGAGAGATCAAAACTACCAGTTTTCTATGCTGGCACTATCAATATTGGAATATTGGATATTGTAAAGTAACTGTACCTCTGCAAGCTTCAAATAGATTTTTCCGTGAGACAGTCGCACTATCAAGAAAAATACAATAAAGGAATAATAAAACATGAATAGTTAGCGGAAAATAAAAATAACGACACACTACTCTTGTTTTTACCTCTCAATGAACAAAGTCGATTGGAAACTGACGCGTTTACAAATTCAAAACAACGGGATAAACGTGTTTTTTGTTCTTACCAAGGCATATGCTGTCTGATAGTCGTAAAAGAAGACAGAGCCGATTCAGTACACCAGAAGTCAATGAGTCTTTAAGGGATAAACAAGTTTGTTAGGTTAAGACGATTGGTTTATTTTGTTTGAAGGAAACTAAACGTTTGGACCGCGAGGCTAGAAAGGCACTTATTGACAGTCGTTATAACTTTCTGATTGATAAGGTTTCGCTCCATTTTAAGATGGAAAAAGGTTTTATTATAGATTGTCTTACGGATGGAGAACAGGTAAGGCCATCATTGTGCTATATGTTTTCAGGTTCATCTCATTAAAACATTTTTTGACCCTGGAGGGATAAAAGCTTTGTTATTTGGACTTAAATCGGAAAGATCAGGTAGGAATACTGTTACTGACTTCAGCTTTAAGATATTAATGAAAGGGTCGGTGTTTTTACTCGGCCACAAGTTTCTGTTAGACCGCGCATCTTTGTGTCCACAGGTACTGAAATGCACCATGCGGGGCCATGCGTTATATTTACGAGAGTCAATGCAGCAACTGAAGTTACAATGGAAAATATATCAAAGGTAGTGAAGTTAGATTTTAATTTCCTTGAGACTACATGAAGGTCTACAAAACGCTTCATAATTGTTGAAGTCGTTTTTTTATGTTGACCAATGATTTTATTTTTGCTGGCATAAAATGACAATTCTTTCCACTTTTACTACAAAATATCTGAATATTCACGTTTGTATTTGTTTGTTTGCGTATTGACGGGTTCTCGAAATTGTTTTTACCTTTTGCATGAGACCATTGGGATTTTCACAAGATTTTATCTGTTTTTTGATTTTACTTAGATCTACTGGACACTTGCATTAACATGGAAACATTTCACACTTATGTTATTAGGGAAACTCATACAAGCTTTTAGAAACCCTGTTCAGCCTATGGTTTAATATCTTATCCAATGCATAGCTCATATTTAATAACTCGTTAGGTGAAATGCCAGTTCTGATAACCCGTGGTTTATTTTCCGTGTCTTTTCTGAGATACTCTTTACTGACATCTATTTATTTCAGAATAACAGTTGTCAAACTTGAGATTCAGAATGCTCAAAACTCCTAAAGGAAAAATCTTAATTACTGTTTGTAGGAAAGCTTTAAGTCATACGCTGCAACAGATATGATTATATAAATTAAAGAACTACCATTATTTTATGATAAGATGGAAGAATTTTTGTTACAGTCGTTGTTTTGAATAACTTTAGATCCTCTTTTAATTGCACGCCTAATACTAACCCTTCACTGCTTGTCAGAAGTAAAAGTGAAAATTCTGCCGTTGCGAATAACAGCTTTTCACGGTTCCTTTCATTCAAAAATGTGCTATATTATATAGGTATAAGTTAAGTTGAGAAAACACTTAGCACATTGCTCCTTTATTCTTGTGCAGATAGTGGTTTATGTATTCGTGTCATACTTAAGTACTGTCACCATGAGCTGCGTCCTTTTTTATGAATTCCGACTGTTGTTTTGTATATGCTTACGGTTCACAATAATGCCAGACCACCGCAAACCAGTTATGCATACATAACCAAAGCAATGTATCCCTAATAAAAAGTTCTCTTCGCTGATTATTTGTCATTTTACAATACAGTCATTTTCCGCTATTGCCGGCTTGTTATTTATTATTCTTGTTACCAGTTTATGTTTGATTGAACAGGGGTGAATTGTTGTCATTGCTTTACTGCCTTGACAAGTAAATAACTTTGTTTTTTATATTATCTTACGAAAACCCCGTATTCATAGGTGCTCATGTTGAAACAATGTAAATCTGTTCTCACTTCTGATCCATCCACATGAGAAAAACCATTTCCTATTTTACACTTGAGGCTAACAAGTTCATTTAGTTTTTTGATAGTGTGTGGCCGGAGCCTTCTTTTCAAGAACTTGAAACAATTAGTCCCCTTTATGAATTTGGATAATGTAATTAGAAGTAGATTGTCTGAAAAATGTGAAATATTAGCGCTATAAATTTCGAACAATCTGACCACACATTTACTTGTTAAGGCATTAAATATGAAAACTGGAAGTCGGGGAAGAAAAAATATGACACAAAGGAATTCAACAATAAGAAAGATAATGAGAAGGAAAAACAGGATAAGATTTGGAGAAAATCTTGGTAATACGGTGAAATAAGCATTACCAAAGTAGGCTTAACATAAGGAAAAACTGTTTTCGCACACACAATGGGGGGTTAAATTTATTTATGGCTAGCGCCTCAACAAACTTCAGTATACGCCCCTGACAGGTTCTATACAAAATTGTAAAGGCTGTTTTAACACATCAGATTTTTCAGATAATCTACTTCTTCTAATTACGTTATCCAAATTTGAGGTTGATTGTATAGTCCTTATTTATTATTTCTGGTAGATAACGGAGAAAATTGTGACTAGGTTGTAAAAGACGGGATTTCTATCCAAAGCTGTGATATGTGTAGTTAGTTGTTGAGACGGTGTAATGATGCAATAAGTGGCTAACAGTAATCGTATGAAGTGCATATATAAGGTTTTGGTTGCAACTGATAGCTATTTTTTAGAATATATTGCGAGTGAAACCACCGAAAACTGGGAAGCAATTTTAAATGTTTACAAATGTATGACACCAGGTCAAAAGCTTTCTAACTACCAGTTTGAGACGATTACACAGCAGTAGGCTAACTATCTGTTACTTGGTTTTCATATTTTCGTACTTTTACCCAAAACGTATCAATCTGGGTTTAAAAGTTTGAAGCACTACATCTAAATTGGAAACGTTTAGTCGAAGACCTTCAGCTGGATAGTCTGTTTGCATTTTATTTGTATACGTATGCTTCTTGTGCATTCACTTTCTCTGGGTTATATCCTCTACCTAATAACTGCCTTCTATTTTGATAATATTGTTTGATGATTATCATTATAGTGCAGGATTCATATATAACCCCATTTCGAATTCATCAGTGTTTAGAATCTAGTACTTTAAAAATTAGGCTGTTTTGTGTTGTGACTAAATCCATTTTTTTACTGTGATAAGACGTTGTAAAAACTCTTGTTTTTGGAAGTTTCTGTCATTCCCTCTTCCGATATTTTGATTTAAAAATAATTTTTAAGCTCTAAGGCATTGAGTTTTAAAAGTTTATTTGAAACATCAGGTGAAGGTTTGTTCAGAACAACTGTTACACACTCCATACTCAAAATTATGTTGCTCCATAACAGCATGCAAAGTAGGTTTTTCTTTGTAACGGGTAATTGGGTAACCAATGTTAAATGTTTTAGCAAGCAATAGATATTATTTTTTTATTTCACTGCTTATTTGCAAAGTATATTTCACACCTTTTGCTTTTATATAGGAAGTCAGTTTTCTGACGACGGATCTAAACGAGGATTTGCTGGATGCGTTTGGAAATCTTCTCAATTCTCTAATGCTACCACAACTTCAAACAGTTTCAGACAAGGCTTTTGTTGAAAACACTGTCCCAGTAGACGTAAGCAAATGGGGTTTAGTTGAGTATACCAAAAAGTTCGTAAAATTACTTGAAGAATCTTCAGAGTTCCTAGCTAATCGCGTAAGTGTTACAGAAACATATTTCCCTCTTTGACCGATTTGGTTACCAAAAACCTTTTTACAGCTTTGATATGCAATCTTAAGGCAGTTTGTGAAGTCATTATGATTGTTTGCTGATAACGTTTAGAGTTTGTCGTTTGTTAGCTGAAAACTTTTATGTCGGCAAAGTTGATAAACGCGAACGCTCAGAAATTTTTGGATTGCTTGGAGCGATACACGGTTAGGAGTGAAAAACAAAGCTGAAACAGTGAAAAGAACATCCGAATGTGAAAGAAAACTGTACTAGAATATTCAGTTTAGGGTTTATTACCAATTCTGGCACTCAATGTTCTCTTTCATCAGGCATAAATTGGAAACGGAAAGTATGGGGTTTTAATAATTATTTATTAGTGAATTACCGCTTATACTTTGTAACAGCTATACTATAACAATTATTTTGTGGTATCCTTCCATGCTCATAAGCTTGAGTTTTATTTATTAACATTGTTAGTTGCTCCATAGTGCAGATGTGGTAATCATGTAACCACAAATACGTCGCTATATTTTTTAGTCTGTCTAGTTTATTTTGGTTTTTGTAATTAAGTGAGTTGTGGTATCTCTTGAGTCGTGCGTATCAACTCAGGAGTAATGAAATATCGTGATTATCAAACGAAGCGTCTTCATCAATTGTTTTTGGCTCTAATAAATAATCGGTAGCTTAGTGTAGAAACCAGTGATTCGCCAACCGTGTTGAGTTCGATCAAAGGGCATAATGGAATATTTATCATTTAGCTACCACTCGAGTTTTACACCCAATTTTAGCACTTTTTTAATTATTCCTTTAGAGTGACCGTAACTTTGCATATTGCATTAATCAGTGTTATGCTGGCCCAAAGTTAAACTAAATCAGTATTTTACGATATTATGTTTCCTCAGTTAGTTGAAGACAGCACAAAGCTTTGCATCTGAATTTTTTTTGCCTTGAAAAAACTCATTGTTTAAAGGTATCCGAAAATCTGAGAACGTAATTGTGCATAGGAGGTTGAGATCTGCTCTACTCAGAGCTGTAGTAGCCTAGGTTGCGATTTTTTATTTCCTTATATTACCGGCTTGTACCCAAACTAATATGATAATAAAATTTGAGCTCTGTGTTGGGATATATTTTCAATACAGTGCTTTTAGATTTGGATCATTCAGTGAAACATTATTACCTGCTCATGATGTTTCGAGCAGAGTTTTATCTCATAGTCATATTAAAGTAATCACAGAACTCTCTGGTTTACTTTTCATCGTCCTCTTGTTTTTCATTCTTTGCAAACAAATCAGTTTTGCCTGCAACCCAATGATCTTCACGAGGAAACCACATTAAGATGGCACACCAGAGAGCCAACACCATACTCAGGTCCAAATTTTTCTCCCTAAGAGTATGTGCTTTATGGAATGCCCTACCGTGACACATCGTTATAGCTCCTTCAGTTGACTCATTCAAGAGATGATTAGACGGTATGCCACCTCGCATGGACTACCACGGGCATACTCAGGTAGTCACCAACCTCATTACCCCCCGACTCCCCCTAACTACCAATCACTATCTCCCTCCTTAGTACACCCACATTACCTACTAATTCTTCTGTAGGAACCAAACCTATGCGACCATTCGCGCGATTCCCATACACTTTTCTCTCGTTCTCATTTCTCTTTTCACCCCTCCTTTTCTTCTCCTTCTCTCTCCTCTTCCCTATATTATGATTTTTTCCTCTCTTTTTTTATTCTCTCTTCATTCCTATTCTCTTTCAGGAAACTACACAGACAGGAGTCACGGCAGTTCTCTAAACTTCCCAGCAACCTATAGCTCCCCAATCACTCTACAAATTACAACTTACTAACCCACAAAACATCCACCTCACCGAAGCTAAAAGCGAGAAAGCAGAGGGGATTTCCTCGTCCACTGCTGGAGTGAACCGAACAACTCGAACCAAGCCCTAAGAACTAGACTCGAGAGATCAAAAACTACCAGTTTTCTATGCTGGCACTATCAATATTGGAATATTGGATATTGTAAAGTAACTGTACCTCTGCAAGCTTCAAATAGATTTTTCCGTGAGACAGTCGCACTATCAAGAAAAATACAATAAAGGAATAATAAAACATGAATAGTTAGCGGAAAATAAAAATAACGACACACTACTCTTGTTTTTACCTCTCAATGAACAAAGTCGATTGGAAACTGACGCGTTTACAAATTCAAAACAACGGGATAAACGTGTTTTTTGTTCTTACCAAGGCATATGCTGTCTGATAGTCGTAAAAGAAGACAGAGCCGATTCAGTACACCAGAAGTCAATGAGTCTTTAAGGGATAAACAAGTTTGTTAGGTTAAGACGATTGGTTTATTTTGTTTGAAGGAAACTAAACGTTTGGACCGCGAGGCTAGAAAGGCACTTATTGACAGTCGTTATAACTTTCTGATTGATAAGGTTTCGCTCCATTTTAAGATGGAAAAAGGTTTTATTATAGATTGTCTTACGGATGGAGAACAGGTAAGGCCATCATTGTGCTATATGTTTTCAGGTTCATCTCATTAAAACATTTTTTGACCCTGGAGGGATAAAAGCTTTGTTATTTGGACTTAAATCGGAAAGATCAGGTAGGAATACTGTTACTGACTTCAGCTTTAAGATATTAATGAAAGGGTCGGTGTTTTTACTCGGCCACAAGTTTCTGTTAGACCGCGCATCTTTGTGTCCACAGGTACTGAAATGCACCATGCGGGGCCATGCGTTATATTTACGAGAGTCAATGCAGCAACTGAAGTTACAATGGAAAATATATCAAAGGTAGTGAAGTTAGATTTTAATTTCCTTGAGACTACATGAAGGTCTACAAAACGCTTCATAATTGTTGAAGTCGTTTTTTTATGTTGACCAATGATTTTATTTTTGCTGGCATAAAATGACAATTCTTTCCACTTTTACTACAAAATATCTGAATATTCACGTTTGTATTTGTTTGTTTGCGTATTGACGGGTTCTCGAAATTGTTTTTACCTTTTGCATGAGACCATTGGGATTTTCACAAGATTTTATCTGTTTTTTGATTTTACTTAGATCTACTGGACACTTGCATTAACATGGAAACATTTCACACTTATGTTATTAGGGAAACTCATACAAGCTTTTAGAAACCCTGTTCAGCCTATGGTTTAATATCTTATCCAATGCATAGCTCATATTTAATAACTCGTTAGGTGAAATGCCAGTTCTGATAACCCGTGGTTTATTTTCCGTGTCTTTTCTGAGATACTCTTTACTGACATCTATTTATTTCAGAATAACAGTTGTCAAACTTGAGATTCAGAATGCTCAAAACTCCTAAAGGAAAAATCTTAATTACTGTTTGTAGGAAAGCTTTAAGTCATACGCTGCAACAGATATGATTATATAAATTAAAGAACTACCATTATTTTATGATAAGATGGAAGAATTTTTGTTACAGTCGTTGTTTTGAATAACTTTAGATCCTCTTTTAATTGCACGCCTAATACTAACCCTTCACTGCTTGTCAGAAGTAAAAGTGAAAATTCTGCCGTTGCGAATAACAGCTTTTCACGGTTCCTTTCATTCAAAAATGTGCTATATTATATAGGTATAAGTTAAGTTGAGAAAACACTTAGCACATTGCTCCTTTATTCTTGTGCAGATAGTGGTTTATGTATTCGTGTCATACTTAAGTACTGTCACCATGAGCTGCGTCCTTTTTTATGAATTCCGACTGCTGTTTTGTATATGCTTACGGTTCACAATAATGCCAGACCACCGCAAACCAGTTATGCATACATAACCAAAGCAATGTATCCCTAATAAAAAGTTCTCTTCGCTGATTATTTGTCATTTTACAATACAGTCATTTTCCGCTATTGCCGGCTTGTTATTTATTATTCTTGTTACCAGTTTATGTTTGATTGAACAGGGGTGAATTGTTGTCATTGCTTTACTGCCTTGACAAGTAAATAACTTTGTTTTTTATATTATCTCTACGAAAACCCCGTATTCATAGGTGCTCATGTTGAAACAATGTAAATCTGTTCTCACTTCTGATCCATCCACATGGGAAAAACCATTTCCTATTTTACACTTGAGGCTAACAAGTTCATTTAATTTTTTGATAGTGTGTGGCCGGAGCCTTCTTTTCAAGAACTTGAAACAATTAGTCCCCTTTATGAATTTGGATAATGTAATTAGAAGTAGATTGTCTGAAAAATGTGAAATATTAGCGCTATAAATTTCGAACAATCTGACCACACATTTACTTGTTAAGGCATTAAATATGAAAACTGGAAGTCGGGAATTGGTAGTCGTGGCCGTTCTTCTGGGATCGACTCATGATCCTTTGTGGTGGTTTTAAACCTGTTACCTCTTACCCTCGTTACTACCAAGGAAAGGGAGGTTAGTGTCTAAGATGAAGCTTTACTTGAGGTGTTCCTGTTGTTACTCATTCCAGTAAGTAGCTAGGGGTAGCAGCAAGATAGAGAAGCCCAGGTTAAGTAAAATGTAAAAAAATTGGGAAACTTGAAGTGATTTTCCAGCCTTTGTTGTGTTTCTCTAGTTCTTCGACTCAGAAGAGTGCTAAAAGCCTTCCAAGAATCAAAAATGTGCGATGGAGAGATAAATAGTGCTTCAGCTGCGGCACACTGGGCTGTGGCACCTGTCAGGACGGTTAAACCTACTATAGGGTGGTTCGCTTGGAGAGCTATTATATCGTTCGACTGAGGATTGCACGTTCCATAGACACCCTTTTTGTTGAACCGCTACTTTCGGAGAGGAAGGATCCGACTGGAAATGCATATGTGTCCACTTAGGAAAGGAATGCAGACCAGAAAAAACTCTTTAGCACTAAGTGGGCGCTCCCAATTCAATTAGTAGGTTGCATCAACTAGTCACTACCCGAGGTTGATGAGCGCAAGCCGTGCGTTACCGCGTGGCTGTCTAACTTGTTTTCAAAGCTGCTGACAATCACTATTCCATAGTGATATCCTCAGCTTCATTTTAGTTTCCACTACTTTTGTATGCACCTTCATCTTCTTCCCCATAAGTTTATCTATAGACAGTAGGTTTGATGCCTCTTCAAGTAACTTTTGCAGTCAGTACAATGAACTCACCTACATGTATCATGGTCGATGTACTTCTGCGTATTATTTCTATGCTCGTGTTCCAAATTTCGTCTGCTGCTCGCTTTTGTTGCTCATTTTTCAGGTTTACCCAACCAGTCCTTCATCCATATGGAATCCTAGTAGTTTAATTTGTCAGCGCGCACTATGCCATCTAGACCTTATGACGAACGCACAAAGCCAAAAGTTACGGCTGTACTGCCCGCCCTACCTTCAAGAATATTGGAAGATTCAAACAAAAGCCGAATATTTCCTACGTTCAAACTGAGCTTGATTCAGTATGGTGAAAAATCATGCTGGTGTTTATCTGTTTCATTCTTTGCCGTCTGCAAAGCATTACCGTTCTTACCCTAGGCGCATCTTTTATGTACCGGAAAGAACGGCCTCTATTGTATAGCTTGATATTGTACATAACAGACAGTTCATATTACCAAAAAGATCAGACCTGTAAACTGGTTTGTTTTCATTTAACTTATATTGTATGAAATATATTATTATTACTATAAATGCTGTCCAGTGGCTGCAAGCTCACATAGAGAAGACAGCATGACAGATCCTAGCACTGAGTATTCCGTTAATTTCCCTCCTAAAGCTGCGAGAGAGAATGAAACTTGTTTTCGCTTAGAATCTATTGCCTATCTAGTTTGCACCAGGAAAGAATCGGTAGGGCAACACGCAGAACATCCATCTACCATTCCATGCATGACGATGAGTGAAATCACATCCTAATGAATCTGCGACAGCTCCCTCTTGCATGAGCCATGGTCTATGTGAGGTCTAACCACCGTTTCAGTACCCGATGCGCCAATAGGTTTCTGAGTTTTTGTGGCCCTTGATTTGCCGACAGTACCGTGTCTCTCTTTCCAAAGATGTCAACAAAAGCTTAGGTCGGCTTCAGCTTAACGTGGTGCTCTTTCTGCAGTATTTAACTTTTGTATTCTTCCCACTGAGTCTCTCTGCTTGCATCTAGTGCGATGAAACCACTGCGAAGTTCCGTTGTCAAAGCGAACGCTGGTGTTTTCAATCAGCTGTCATCAGGCTTTTATGCTCCTAACCTCTGTTTATCGTTTTCTAGCCGGCCGGTACCTGTTGCTCAGACGAAACACAAACTACTCAGTTCTGCCATTTCCGTGTGTATATACGGACTCAGCCGCTCCAGTGGAGGAGGCTGTATTGGGCGCTCAACTAGGCAGCTTAACAAACACGTTGCTGACCATCTACCGTCACTGCTCGGAAAGGGACAAGTGAAGCCAGTACGAAGTTCAATCCCGTCCCGTTCAGTTGGCATTGGTCATGTAATGGAGAAGACCAAAACGTTCAAGACCACATATTGCATCCCACACAATCTTTTGAATGGAATTCGCACCCGCAGTTTACACGGCCGGCGTTATCGGAATTAGAGAAATTGAACCTGGTATCCGTGTGCAGAAAACGTTTATGCAACCTTTTTCTCATCATCACTGAGATGATTATTATTGCCATCATATTACGATTGTCTCCTACTTGCGTGTTTCGTTCCCTAGTTACCGTAGACCGAATGATCCACCATGATTGGTTTAATGTTTTATACATGAGAAAATTTATGTAGATTAGCATAAAGCCTGATGGTAGCTAACTAAAGACAGCATTGTTCACTAATATGTCCCCTAATTTTGACGGTGAAAATGGCCATATTCGTGGACTTACTGGAAAGCCCCTCTTATATGCTGCAGCCAGTTTGTTATGGCTTTAATTGGGGTTAATAAATTGGTCAGTCGCATTCTATACGGTGGCGGAAATTTCTTGAATATTAAAGAAGCGTTGATTTTAAGGCTGAGCGCTTCCCTTGCACCTAAAGTTTTCCTTTGTGCAATTGACAGGACCTAATTTGCAATATATCCTAGACTCAAAGTGCTTATTACCGTATCCAGCGTTACAGATAGGTTTTTGTGCTCAGGCAGAATTCGTTCTTATGTGGTTACATCAAAAGAAATGTGTAAGTTCATCCTATGGCTCACATTCCTAATTTCAACAACTGTTTGTCACTTGTGCTGAGATATGCCACTTTCACATTCAACGCACATCCGCTGCCCTTTATCTGGAGCTGCTTGTGCCACTGGGCTGACATCAAAGCTATTGATTAAGGTAGATGTGTCTTGGTGTTGCGTTTCCGTCAATAGCACCAACTTGGCCACTGCGCAGTCAGCAGGTGTGACGTTCCTTGACAGTTAAAGTATCAACCAAGAGGCGTATTTAACTGGCGGCAGCCAAAAGCTCCACAGAAATTCCCAACTATCAATTAAGGCAGGCATTTCAAAAGACATCAGCAGTACATCTACAAAGCTCAGGGCCAATGCAAGGAGTGAAGTGAGAGATTTGATCAGTTCAAGGAAACTCTCAAACTCAAGATATTCTACAGAGCTTAAAACATCCTTAGAA